TCCTCGGCGGCCCCGAACGGCATGGCGGCCATGGCGAGCCCGGCCCGAGGCGGACGCGCGCCCGATTGGACGGCGCCGCGGCGGGGAGGGGCACGTGACCCCCCTCGGGCCCGCCTTCCTGCCGCCGGGCGGCTTCCTTGCCCGCGACGCCGCGGGCGCCCCCTCCGGCCGGGCGGTGGCAGGGCAGCCAAACGGCAGCCAGCCCGGCCGAGCCCCCTCCGGCCCCCGGACGCTTCGCCATCGGCGCCCGGGAGAGTCTAGCGCGGGGACGGGGACGGGAAGAGGCCGTCCGTAACCGGCTTCGTGTCCTTGTGAGCCGCGACTTGTAGAGAGGGCACAGCCTGGCTCGGTCTAATGGAAGGAGTCGAAGTCAAGTGGCAGGTCTCTTCCAGAACTAGAAGGATGGACGGAAGAGACCGAGCGGACGGAAGGGGGGCTGTGAAACGGGGGTGAAATGGTGGAATTCTGAGCCCCAAAAAGTGAATATACAGTGCGGGGGATGGAAAAGTTCCCAGATTTAATTGGACAATTTAAACTAAATTGTTTCTCCCCAGATTGCTCTGTTGGCCAGGCAAACCAAAGTGGGCAAGTTATTCCCCATTATTATTTCAGTAATTTCTAGAGATTTAGAAATCTTTGATGGGTAAAGATGTTAAACAGCTGAATTGTATACGCCAATGCCATTGGTTTCCCAGCAGAATTCCTATCTCAGACACTCCACTCAAAATAGGCTGGAGGACACGGAATTAATTTGGAGTAAAAGAGATCAGAGATACATAATACACAATAACTGTAAGATTGTCTTGCTTGCAAAGAAAAAATAAAAATCAGAGCTCTCATATTTTACACATCCTGGCCAGGCATTTTCTGAACTGAAAATTTTCACCTTATTTCAATTTAAACTTGAAGAAACTCTCATATTGAATGGCAACCTGACTTTTCAAGAAAACTCTTATTTTAAGAATGTTTTAATTTTTTAATTACAGTTTGAAAGTATGTTTGTTTGGCCAAATCCGATTGTGTGCTGAACTCAGTCCAATCGCTATATAATCGTCCTGTGAGTGTTTTTTCCATTCCTGGAAGCATTTTATTTTAATAATAATCATAGGGGATTCTTTATTCCAAATTAACTTTATTTCTCTCATTATCTCAGCTATCCTTTAACCATTAACACAAATCCATGATTCACTGAGACTGGAAAGTATGGAAAATATATTGTAACAATAGATTGCTAAACTGCACCTCCGCTAAGCTATCAACTGGCATTCGAAAAACCAAGTGCCAAAACCAAGGAACTGGGCAAGAGTAATTAACCACACAAAGAACCTGTTCAGTTACACTTTCGGTCACACCCACAAACAGGCTGCCCAGACACCAGGAAGAACAAGTGAGGTTGACTTGTTGACAGTTACACACTAGAACCAGCATGTACGCAAACCCCCACCCCAGCTTACACTAGAACCAGCACATACACAACCCGTGCCTCCCCAAACCCACACAAGGACCAGCCCCCCCAATAAAAAAATCTCTGTACACCATTTTCTCTGTAGTCTACCCCCAAGAGCAAACCTCTTTGTTACTGGGAAATAAATGAATCATCTCCTTTCCACAGCAGTGTGCCTCGTGTCTTATTTGCCTGCATTCTCCCAGTTCAGAGAAAAGGACCCAGGTAAAAATTATCTTCACCCCAGGAATCCCAGATTCACAGAAGATAGGCTCAGTTACTGGAGGTGTTTTCCAGGCTGCACCCTCTCCCAACCCTCCTTAATTTCTGCTTCTTTGCTTGTGGGGCATTAGTGATTTACCCTCTGTTTACCAATGTGGAAACAGGGATGTTTCTGACTACACTTCTGATTGTTGTTTTAAGTACCCTAATCCAGAGTCTGCAGATTCAAATAGACCCTGGAGCCCGAACCAAGGTCAGCCACAGCCTGAGAGGGACCTTGGCCACATCTTCCAGCTTGATGGATGGACCCACCCCGCTTCCCTCCTTTGGTACTACCTGGACGTCTGATCCCAGGGTCCCAGGGACCATTCACCTCCAGGGCTCAACTGGGTGCATGAGGACGTATAGTGCCTATCGGTACAGATACAGATACACTACAGATAGTCCTTGACACACAACCATTCATTTATTAACTATTCAAACTTACAATGGCACTGAAAAAAGCAACACGATTACTCGCGTTTCCTGGGAAGGGAGGGATTTTTGACAGCTCAATGTTCCTTTCCGTATTGACTAACCTGGGAACATTCCAGAAGGTTGGGAGGTTAATATTTCCCTTGCAAAAATAGCCCACGTTATTATAAAAAGCCGTTGGACTGAAGCTCCGCTAAAGGCACACCCAGCTCTACAATCAAGAAACTTGGATGACAAAGGAGTTCTACAGTAAAATAAATATAACGTTTATATGATATCATTTACAAACATTTATTATAATCAATCTAATCAAGCCACTCTTCTTAAGCCATAATCTGGGTGCCCAGGGCCAGCGGGAGCCCCTCCAGCTGCCCGCTCAGCAGGCCCTTCCTTCGGGGGACTCGCCCGGAGGGGCCCCTGGGCAGGCGGGGTGGGGGGATCAGCGCTTCTCTGCCAGCCCGGCTTCCCCGCTCCCCGGGGAGGCCGGGCCCAGCAACGGTTCGCGGGCTGCCGCCTGGGCGAGCCCCAACTCAAGGCTGCTGGAGAAAAGGGGGCCACAGAGCCGGACGGCCGAGGGGAGCTGCCGTTGCCGGCGGGAGGCTGAAAAGGGGCAACACCCGCCTGCCTTTCTCCACCGCAACTCTTCCCTGAATTAGGGTTGCCAGGTGTCCACTATTTGAGTGGACAGTCCACTTTTTTCACATTATGTTCACTATTTTTTTTCACAATAGCGGACAAGCAGGGGGGGGTTAAGTAGTAAAAAAGTAAAAAAAGTAGACTGTACAGCTTTAGATTACGTACCATTTCATCCTAAAGCTTTTGAATAAAAAAAATGTCCACTATTTTTTTTCACAAAATAGTGGACATTTTTTTTATTCAAAAGCTTTAGGATGAAATGGTACGTAATCTAAAGCTGTACAGTCTACTTTTTTTACTACTTAACCCCCCCCCCCCCGCTTGTCCTCTATTTTTTGGAAGCAGACCTGGCAACCCTACTTCCCTTCGTCGCATCCCCGAGGAACCGACGCCCCTCCGTGCGCCCCCCTCGCCCTCCTTCCCAGCGGGGCGAGCTCCGGGGCGCATCCGCAGCCTCCGACCCGCTTTGGCGACGGGGCGTCTCCTAGCCGGGACGAGGCGAGGCCAGGGAAGCGAAGGGGCGGGCGGGGTGGAGCGCTTGGCCGGCCCTCCTCGCCTCGCCTTTTCCCGCTGCTGCGCCGGCGGAGCTCCTGGCTGACGCGCCCAGGTAAGCGCTGCTGGCCGCGGGGGTAGCGGCGGCGGCGGCGGCTTCCCTGGTCCCGGCCCGGCCGCTCGGCACCCCCTCCGCCGCCTCGGGTCTCCCGCCGTCGGGGCCGAGCTCCTCTCCGGAGCCCGGGGCTGGCTGGCTGGACGGCGTCGGTCTCCGAGCTGCCCGGGCGTAGCCGACGAAGCTCCTTCCTCCTCGGCGCACCTGGGAGCGGCCGTTCCGCGCCGCGTCTGAGCCGCGTGCCCAGCCCCGCTCGGCCCGCTCCTCGATCCCGGCGACGGGGGAGTGACCGGAGCGCGGCTGACCGGCGGGTGCAGGCAGCCCTGCCGGCCGCCCGGGGCTGACGGGGTCGCGGCGCTGCCCTCGGGGCCGCCTGAGCAGCGATGCGACCTTTTGCTCCCTTCCTCCGGCCGCAGGCGGGCTTGGCCTCCAGACTCTTTCCGCCCGCCCGCCCGGCCCCTCATCCAGGCAGCCTGGCGGTCCCCGGGTCTCCTGTGGCCCTGGGACGGATCCGCCCCATCCTGGCTGGGGCTGAGAAGGGCTAGGGCAGGGGTAGGCAACCTTGGCTCTTTTATGACTCGTGGACTTCAACTCCCAGAATTCCTGAGCCAGCACAGCTGGCTCAGGAATTCTGGGAGTTGAAGTCCACGAGTCATAAAAGAGCCAAGGTTGCCTACCCCTGGGCTAGGGGGACCCCGGGTTGGGAGCCCCCCAGGAACTGCCCATCCAAAGAAAGGCCACCCCCAGGGAAGAAGCGGCCCAAGCGCTGCCTGCCAGCCTTTAAGGCACCTTCCGAGTGCGGGGAGAGCCCCGGAGCATTGGCCCGAGGGCTCTAGAGTGGATCTTTTCTTTAACCAAAAGGACACAAAGCTCTTCCTTTTTTTTGTAACGTATTTTTTTTATAAGTTTACATTTCATAAATGCTTGATAAACAATATGTTGTCTGGGTCTTATCTTAATAACACGTAATAAAATCCTAATCTCTATCTTCCCGTTTTTTCAGCCATTGGTAAAATACATCCCATATTTGGAAATACACCGTATATATATATATTTTTTTAATCTTACGTGTGTGTCTGTCCGTTTCTGCACGCTCCTTGATCTGCTGAGACTTAGGGAGGGTCGGGGAAGGTTAGTGCTAACTCCAGATCGCACCAGACAGACAGAGAGTGCTGAAGGTGCCCCGAATCCTGCCTTGCAGGCAGCCGAGAGCCGGTCCCAGCCACGGCAGAGGCTCCTTCATGACGGCCCCTTGAAGGGCTGGGCCGGGGGCAGCATGGAGCTTGAGCGGTTCAACCTGGAAGATGCCCCAGACACCTGGCGGGAAGAGGAGCCTCGCGAGGAGAAGAGCAGGTGCCCCTGGATGAGGTGCAGCAGCGTCCACAATACCGTCTCCAAATGGATGCTCCCTGGAGAGGCCAGAGCGACCTACCTGGAAAGAGCCAGCTGCATTCCACCACCCGTTTTCATCCTGTTTATCAGCTTAGCTGAGGTAAGAAGCTCTGTGCATTTCTAAATCGGCATGTCACGGTTTTTACCATTCAGGAATTTCTTGTTTAATCTAATGCGTTGCTAAGTTTGGAGACCCCCTGATCCATAGAGTTGGTTTTCATGAACTCTAATTCCTTTTTAACTAGTGTTATTTCTTTAAAAAAAATCATCACAGAGCTTTTACTTCTCATTTTAAGGGAATGTTTCATCAGTTCCTAAAAAAAGGAACTTATCGACGGAATAGGGTTGCCAGGTGAGGTGATAAACTCACCTGTCAGGTGAAAAAAGTGTAATACAAGTGATAAAAAAAAAGTGTTTTATCACCTGTAAAAAAAATAAGTTTTCGAAATACTACTTTACCATGCATTAGATTTCGACATGTCAGATGAAAAAAATGATGAATTGGGGGGGGGGGCGAACAGGCGATAAAAAACCTTCGTCTGGACCGTTGGGATCGACGGAAAGGACCTTTCCACAGGGATCCTCACCTGGGCCTTCTCTCCGTTCTGGTTTAACTGCTTCGCAAAAGGCGCTCGCTTACCTTACTTGTTTTCCCCCAAATATAAGGCTGTCTCTTTCACCCCAAGAGAAACAAAATAAAATGCCAGAGAAAATCCTGTGAAGGAATGTAGTCGTGTGGGTTTCTCAGAATAGGAATATTTTTAATACAATATTAACGTTGGGCTGTTTTAATTATATAGATGGTAGGTTTGAAAGCTGTTTTCAGAATTGATGGAGTATTGGAGTCGTCTATAAACCTAGTCAAATAAGTAAATAAACTGAGCTTTACGAAGAAGATTTCCTGAGAGAGAAAAAATTTGCAGAGATTCCTTTTCTTTTCCAGCAAAGTGCTAGGAAGGATAGTTTTCTGTGAGATGCCAAGCAACTGATTGCAGGCTTCTTGGGACCACAAAGCCATGGACCTAAGGGCGTGACTCAAAGGGCATTGCTGAATCTCTACCAAAAAATCAGTGTCAAAGTCTGCTTTACAAGATTGCTGAAAAATCCCTGCTTAGAAATATAACTAAGAACACTTTCTTCCTTACACTACCAGTATCCCATTTAAGTGTTTAATTTTGATAGTTTTATACACAGAGGGAAACTTTAAAAGAGAATAAGAACGAGTGGGTTGTGACGGACTCTCATGGTAAAGAAAGGACAGACACAAGGCTGCCTCGAATGAGAGTCGAGAGAGAAGAAATCCCAAGGTGAAGTCTCTCCCCCTGGCTCTCTTTTATTAGCATACATCAAAGCAAATTGCAGGCAGAAGGCTTTAGGCAAGGGGGGTGAGACGGGGGTTGCAAACAAGGGAGTTTAGGAGGTTAGAGACAGCCAAAGTTTTACAAAATGTATCTTATCTAATACATGGCATAAGCGACTAACAGTTCGCAGTAAAAGTTGCCATTATGGTTCGCATTGAAAGGTCTTATCAGGAAGTGATAATATTATAACTTGTGTAGACAGCACTTTTGACTTGTCCCTTTGTACTCTGTTCTACGTGTGTGCAGCTGCTAATTGCAACCTAACACGTAAGCATAAAGAATGTAAGATTAAGCATACTGAAGGTTACAAGATGGAGTGACTTATGCTATATTCCAACAGTGGGTCAAAACGATAAAGAAGTAAACTCAGATATTAAAGAACTTTCCTGCCTCCGAAACATGATTTTCCCCATGTGAAAGAAGTCTTCACAGGATGGATAGCCACCTGTTCAAAATGCTTTAGGTTTGCATTTCAGATTGGCCTAAGTCACCTCTAAAGACATCTATGATTTTATGAGAAATAAAAAAGAAATTATATACCTAATTTAAAAAGGGGGAAAGAAAAAAAAGTATCAAAACATATTATCATATTTAAAACAGACACCTTGATCACATGGAATAATATTGAGTGAATTTTGCATTTTACTCATTACCAGATCAGAACAGAGAATCAAAATCACGCCATTAATTCAATCAGGTATGGACTGAAGGGTTTTTTCTCTTGTTTATTTCCAGCTGTCAATATTCATTTATTATGCTGTTTGGAAGCCCCAGACTCAATGGATCACGCTAGAAGTGGGAATCTGGGAAAGTCCACTTATTTACAGGCCTGAGAAACGAAAAGAAGCCTGGAGATTTTTGTCTTACATGTTTCTGCATGCTGGGTAAGCAATCTGTTATGCTCATGTTGATAGGTGCTAGATGAGGCCCTGGGCATGGCTTTGTTATTCTACTTTGCTTTCCATTGGGACTGAAGCTGCTTTATGGCTTTGGGCTAAGAACACACCTAGAACCCGTGGAACCGCTGCGCTCTAATTGTATTTAATTACTTCACTGCCACTTACGTTGCTTGCCGTATTCGTATAATTATGCAAAATGAATATGAATATTTACAGTATATATTCATTAAATTTGTATCCCATTTTATCATTAAAATAATCTCAGTGTTCTTTTTTCTGGAGAAGATAAGTATTAATTTCAAATTCACCTTTCCTTCTGCAGCGTTGAACATATCATAGGGAACCTTGTTCTCCAGCTTTGCCTGGGGATTCCCCTGGAATTAGTTCACAAAGGACATAGAGTTGCAGCCGTGTATCTTGCTGGAGTAATTGGAGGTGAGTCGTGCCAGAAAAAGGCTTGGTAGCAATTAGCCCACTTTTCGATACAAAGCAGCATGAGAGAAATAGCCCGTGGAAACGCTGGGGCCTGGATGTGAATAAAAAAACATCTTACATTTTAACTTGCATGTCAGTAATCAAACTTAATAGCTGCTTAGTTATAGGGGAAGGAGTGGCAGAACCTGGGGGCGGAGTCAAAAGAGGGATCTGCCCCGAATCTCTATGTGGTCACAAGCGGACTAGGTCCAACCCAACCTTGAATTCCATTGATATTTATGTGCATAGGCATCAATTGCAATACATCACTTTAATTAGACCTTTGGGTGTGGCACTGATCCTTTGGGCCTGACATTAGTCATTCCAAACTGCCAGTATTACCTTCGTTAATTGGCCTAATTCTCTTAATAGGTTCTTTGGCAAGTTCCATCTGTGATCCTCTGCTGGGTCTTGTGGGAGCGTCAGGAGGTGTCTACGCTCTGATTGGAGGATACTTCATGAATATTCTACTGGTAAGGGGGTTGCTTGGACATGGGGGGAGGGAGATAGGATTTCCCATTGCAGTGAGGCAAACAGATATTGGAAATTAGGGTCATTAAGCCAGGGCTACCTGCAGAGATAAAACTCTTGAAAGAAAACTGTCCCCCTCACTGCTTTGGGTCAAAGTTTTCATAATCTAAACCTGGGTTTACAAAGTCACAGAATATCATCCACAAGATGGCTGAAACATACATCTGTTTGTGGGTCTTCAGAGAAAAAAAATGTCTCAATATGGAAATTAGCTTACAGCAAATACAGGCAGTAATAATTATTCTATTCCTTTGTGTTCTCTGAGCTTGGTTGTTTGCTTGCTAAGTAACTAGGTAACATCATCTCACGTTTACCCCCCCCCCCCCAAGGGTGTTACTTCCTCTTATATACAATAGTTTGCCCTACCAGTGTTGGTGAGCGTATAGTTTTCTCTTTGATAGTTCCTTGATTAGGGCATTGCTTTCTGCATTATTCTTTGTCTGGGGTTGATCTTTGCCTACCTGGATGTTGGCTGCTGGAGAGGACACATTCTGGTCTTTTTGTTTCCTTAGTTATTTTTATTGTTACTTTTGAATGGTGAGTAAATGTGGTATATATTAACAGGGAACAAACTCCACACTCACTTGCATTGATGATGTTAATTAGTTGGGTAACGAAACGTCTGCAAGCAAATGATCAAACTCAAAGAGCATCAAGGATCCAACAGTTCAACCCTTAAGGTCTACTCATAATGTGAAATAAATGTAATTATTCACAAGTACCGTTGATTTAATAACCATGGTATTATAGATCAGTTTGGTCTAATAATAACATTATAACAATACCCCCTTGTCATGGGGGGGGGGAGACCTGCAATGCTCTGAGAGGTTGGGGGCTGTGTCGGCCAGAATGGGTTCTCCCAGAAGGGTCAACCCATGCCAGAAAGGCCAGACTAAGCCTAGTGCTAACCTCTTTAATATGGTAAGAAAACAGAATCCTACACCAGATCAGTCATCACCAGGTCAACAAGGACCACATCAGAAGTTAAGAGTCCCTGGGCATCTGTCGTCGGTTGGTTAAGGGACTCAGGAGATGGCTGAGCAACCAGGGCCTAGGCCTGTAGAGTTATTGGAGGAGCATCAATTACAGACAAGACAAAAGCAAACTGTGTTTCAAAATCACACCATTATGGCCTACAATTATAAATCAGAACCAACAAAGCGGGACTAAAAGTGAATGTCTGAACATTGGAAAATAATTTATCCAGACTCAAATATCACTGAACAACAATGAGCAGATCAGAGATTCATTACCAGAAATAAATATTCAGGAAAGCAAAACTGGAAGGGATTCAGAAAAATTATGAAAATGAAAGACCCAAAGCCAAGAGTAGAATGAAACTCAGATAATAGCAATTTGGAAATATTGAACTACACACATCATAGGTTAGAAGAAGTAATAATAGTAGAAACAGTATAGGCCAGGACTGAAACAACCTCTGAACCGATCTCCTGACAAGAATTAAAAGAGAAGATTGTGACATATGCAGAATTGCCAGTAGAAAACTGCTGGCATTGAAAGTAGTGCCCAAAACAGACCTATAATAAAGGATGTGGACAAGGCATTTGAAAGGATTAAAATAACATCTATTGAACAGACCAATCAGTTTGTCTACAGTACAGCAGTGGTGGTTACAGAACAACTGGATACTGAAATTAGAAAACCAAAAGCAAAATCGTATTCAGTCCCAAAGTGGAAGATCAGACTGGAAGCCAAAAAAAGAAATTAACATCAGATGTGAGTAATTTAAAAAAAAAACCCAGAAAAATTGAAGAAGCTTAGGAAATCATAAAACAACAAATAACAGCAATAACTAGGACAACTGAATGCTTTGAGGCATCAATCATCCAATTTAAGCAAAATCAGCTATTTCAATCAGACCAGAGGCAATTCTGCCAAAATATAAATGGCAATAGAAATTCTGGAAAAAAAATAAAAAAAGAAACAAGGCAGCTTTGGAAAACTAAGAAAAACTGTGTAGGTAATCTTTGACTTAGGACCATAATGGAGCTTGCCCATCCAGTTATCCAGGACTCAGCCCACTCCTCAGCCAGCTCTGAGGGTCATCAGTAGCACCCAATATACCTTACTGCTTTTTGCAAGATGTGCCCAACCAATGCGATGCTATGCGAGACTCTGCTTTCCTCCAGACTTCAAGCAGTGTTTCTCAACCTTGGCAACTTTACGATGTGTGGACTTCAACTCCCAAAATTCTCCAGCTAGCAATGCTAGCTGGAGAATTCTGGGAGTTGAAGTCCACACATCGTAAAGTTGCCAAGGTTGAGAAACACTGCGAGGCTACCAGGTGCGATTCTCATCATCGTCTAGCGCTGGCTGTGGAATTCTGGGAGTTGAAGTCCACAAGTCTTAAAGTTGCCACGTTTGGAGACCCCTGCTCTAGCGGGCTCCATTTGTTAAGGCAGCTCCACAAACAAATGGCTTGTGAGAATAAAACAGGCTTGCATGGTGGATGAAATGAAAAGTGAAACATAATGAAAAAAATAGTTGAAATAGTTGTCAAAAATGAGCAGGTTAAAATATTGTGGGATTACCGAATACAGACTGATAAAATCTTGGCTCAGAACTCACCAGATTTATCTGTGGTTGAAAAGAGAGTATGGATAATTGAGCCGGTAATACCAGGGGATACTAGAAGAATTGGAGAATAAAATTCTAATAGAATAGATCGAGAACTGAAAATCAAAACTGAAAGATTATGGCGTGAGCTGTGGTGATCTCTGGTAGTTATTAGCACACCAAAAAATCTTTGAAAGCATTGACAGAATTTCTGTCTATCAACTGCAAAAAGGCAAACTGCTTGGATCTGGACATACTATGTGGATACGACATCCCATACGCTTGGGAAGAACTGAGTGCAAATGAAAGCACACACCAGCTAAGGAGCAAGCAGCTACGACTTTACATTGTTGTGAACAGAGAATATAACAGAGCAATTTGGTCCAACTGTTAAGGCACCAGGCTAGAGACTTCTTTGTCTGGCTCATCTGAGGAGAACTGCCTAGTATGGTTGAAACTCTGGCATGGAAGTCATCTTGCTCAGAGCAGACAAGCCCCACAACCACATCAAAGTAGTGCTTCCTTGGGGATAAAAATAGAGCAGTTTGGTTTAGTGGTGAAGGCACCAGGCTAGAAACAGGACACTCTGTTCTAGTACTGCCTTAGGCGTGAAAGCCAGCTGGGAGAGTTTAGACTAGTCCAGGGGTAGGCAACCTTGGCTCTTTTATGACTTGTGGACTTCAACTCTCAGAATTCCTGAGCCAGCTGGCTCAGGAATTCTGGGAGTTGAAGTCCACGAGTCATAAAAGAGCCAAGGTTGCCTACTCCTGGACTAATTGCTCTCTCAGCCAACTCACCTCACAGGCTTGTTGTTGTGGGGAAAATAGGAGGGGGAAAGGGTATTAAGCATGTTCTCCACCTTGAGTTATTTATAAAAAATAAAGTGAGATTTAAAAAAAAAATTAAAAAAGAAAAAACTTAATTTACACTTACAGCATGAAAATATTAATATCCTATCAGCTGTTCCGTCATGGAAGTGGTGGACTCTCCTTTGAGGTGTTTAAACAGAAAATGGAAGTCCATCTATCAGAAATGCTGCCAGAGAGGGATCCTGCATTAGGCAGAGGGTCAGGCTAGGGAATCTTTTAAGACCCTTTCACATCTTTATATTCTATAATTCTGTGATCTTGATTTAATTCTTTGGTGATATAATTTTACTCTTTGATGAGTAGCTTATAGCTTGAAGTGGAATTGTTTTAGAGTTTGTTCGTATCTCTTCTTCTTTCAGAACTTCCGAGAAATGATTCCTCTGTTTGGAATTGCAAGACTGCTATTCATTGGCTCAATAGGTAACTTTTTTTAATGTGCTCTTCTCTGAGCGTCATTAAATTAGTATAGTAAAACTGGAGAAGTTGCCATCCTGTTTTTACTCTCCATGCTCAGGGAAGCATATGTGCACTTCTATTCTTCTTTCTCATGCCAAATTAGTCACGGGGAAAAAATTTGTATTTTGATATCCTCTTTCAGTTTGGATAAGGGTGGTATGTTGGGATATTTAAAATAAGCCTAGGATTAGATCATTGGGAGCCGTCACACCAAAGCTCTTTTCACCTATGCCAGTGGTGGCGAACCTATGGCACAGGTGCCAGAGGCGGCACTCAGAGCCCTCTCTGTGGGCACGCGCGCCGTCGCCCCAGTCCTAGGCCTTCAGCTGGGTTTTATAAAACCTTTTCGCTTTAGGCCTCCGCCGCCGTGTGCAAAAAAAAAAAAAAAAGGTTCAATCAATCAATTTCAACTTCTCACGGGAAAAAAAAAGATCTTGCAAAGTTGGAATTGATTGATTGAACTTTTTAGTCCCACCCAGTCTGCCGTTACCACCGCAGCCACGTCCACCCAATGGGCCACGCCCACCCAATGGGCCACACCCAGCCAATGGGCTACACCCACCCGGCACCCGACGATGCATAAGTGGGTTTTGGGTTGCAGTTTGGGCACTCGGCCTCTAAAAGGTTCGCCATCACTGACCTATGCCTTTTAAAATCATTAATAATTATCCATAACGTTCTGTTGGGATCTTGTGTGATGTGTCTGCAGCTGAGTGGTCCCCATTGCTTCTTAATGTAGCATATTCTCCAGCTTAAGTGAGGCAAGGAGGAAGGCTTCGTGGTGTGGTTTATGTGAACAGAGGGCACAAATAACGGGGCTGCTTTCCCCAAGATTACAATCCTGATGCCATCCAAGCTATCAGTGCTGATACGAAGACCAATCCTGTCTTCCCTCCTGGAATGTGATATGTTGGCATGCTACACAATGGGTTTGAGGGAAGAAAGATTATGAAGTAGGCCAGACAATTTTAACGTCTTCAGAGAATATGGCTCCAGCTATATAAGGCCTTTTATTGAGAGACTTAGATTTCACTCCAGGGCCAGAGGCAGCCCTCTGCCTTTTTAAATAAAACCTACCTACTTACTCCTTTGGGAACAATCGGTTAATGTGTAACACTCTGAAAGTTGGTTTCTGACCATTTGCGTTAAATTCCTAGTTGGAACAGATATAGGATTTGCTCTGTACAGAAGATTTCTCTCTCCTTCAGCTGGGATTCAGGTAAGTGCATATTTCCTGTTAAAAACTACGTTCACTCTCTTGGCTTGCTGGTTTATTTTGCTGCCAGTTCTGATAAATAATTTGGCATTCTTTTATTTTATTTTTCTTTGCAAGCTTGCATCAAGTACTTTTCCTTGCCCCTTTATCTGAATGTTGCATTTTCTCCCTCTATAATCTTGTATTACGTTGACTTGTTCTCTCCTCTTTTCCCTTTTCAGCACAAACTTCAAGATAATTAATTAATTACATTTTTATGCTGTCCATCTCTTCTGTGAAGTGACTCTGGGTGGCTTACGGGTTATAAAACAAATAAAATAATTAAAATATTACAACTATGCAGGTTGAAGTTTTGAAAACTGAACAAAAACCCAAATTAAGAGATGGACAGCATGGGGATGAGGTCTTCTTACCTGGCCAACCATCTCCAGCAGTGAGCACCTCCCTCAGGCTCCTAAGCCAATTGGTAAAGTCAAGTTTTAATACCCTTCCAGAACATCAAAAGGGTGGGGCTAGTTCTCACCTCCAGTGGTAGAGTGTTCCATAGGGACAGGTCCACAGTGCAAAAAGTTCTTCTCCTTCAACCCATCTGCCAGAGTTCCTTAGCAGATGAGATCCATAGCAGGTCTCTTCTGCTGGTGCAAGTGGAACAGGCTAGTTCCATTGGGGAGAGATGGTTCCATAGGTACCTTGGACCCATGCCATAGCTTTAAAGGTAACAACCAACACCTTGAATTGGATCCATATGCACACTGGTACAGCTTGCACAGTAATGAGGTTAGGACAGCGGTGGGATTCAGCCAGTTTGCACCAGTTCGGCAGAACCGGTAGCTCATTTTTTGTTGCCCAGGCCCAGAATGGACTTCCAGAAGCGGCATCCACAAAGACAACCGGTTGTTCACATATTTGAATCCCACCACTGGGTTAGGATTAGAACTAATCAAGTCCATGCTAGCAACTCAGTACTAGAAATTCTAACAATGATTGACTTCTGGCGTTCTCTATGAATAGAATCAGTAGAACCCAGCTAGATAATCTTATTCAAAGCTGCAGTTTGGAGATATGTTTTTAAGAGGCCCATTGACCTCTTTCAGTAAGGAAAGCAATTATTCCATAGAGGCCCTGAATCAAGCGTTCGCCTCGGAATTAGATACACTTTCTGAGTAGGATGAGCGAGAGAGAGAGGTGGACTTCTTTGAGTACAATTGCTCACTAGGATTTATTTGGGAAACCTTCTCCTTATCTTCTGATTTCCTTTTTGTGGAATCTCCACTCTTTATCCCTGTTTGATTAAGGGAGAGTCTATTACTTGGGAGCTGTTCTTGCAAATCCCTTTGCAGCTGTCCTTGTCCTTGCTTTGTAGTGCTGGAAGCACCAAAATCCTACCTATTTGCAAATATTTCTGTTTTGGTTTTCACTAATGCTGCAACAAGCTTTGTGTTGTCCTTTGGCTGTTTGCACCAAAGGCTGACACTCCAAGCATAAATACAGTCATTAAAATTATATATATATATATGTATGTATATGTGTGTCTTTTTTCCCCTAAGGTTTCCTTTGTGGCCCACATTGCAGGCGGCCTTGCTGGAATGTCAGTAGGTTATGTCATATTCAGCAATTTTGATAAAAATTTCATTAAAGATCCTAAATTCTGGATTTGTATAACTGCATTTTTAATATTTGTGATACTTGCTGTATTGTTCAACGTGTTTTTCTCACCAGCAAACCAGTAGAACGCAACATTCAATAACAGTGTATAATTCTGAAGGATAATTTTAAAAATCTTTGAAAAATGTGTTTTGTTTTCATATTTTCATAGTATCATCTTATATTTTGTGTGACGATAATATTTTAATGCAAAACAGCAATGCTTTTTAATTGCTGAATTGTTTCAACTTTCAGAGTCGTTATGATTTTATGGACATTCTTTTGTTAGAAGTTTTGGTCAGTAGCGGATCTGAGTTTTTAGCTCCCACTTGTATCCTCAGCGTCAGTATCTAGCTACCAGATCTTCTGTCGCCTTCCTTTATGACTTGATTTTTCTAAGCATTGAAGGGCTGCTCCAGTGACTCTTACCTTTGAAGGATATATGGCAAATTATTTGCACTGCTGTGCCATAGTTTCATTTGTACAAAAACTTGCCAATAACTGACAAGCTGATTGTGTGCGGATGGCCTGCCCTGAGAAAGGTGAAAGCTGGCTGGTGTCCATATGCTTTAGAAGAGACCTCTTCAGATCATCAGCTTACACTTCCTCCAGCATTACTTCATGCCTCATAAATGGGAATACTGGTTTGAGTGGACAAATGTATCCATTTTGAAAGGAGGCTAACACATATTTCATCAAGGGATGTTTCAGGCTGGGATATAGACCTGAAACAGCACAGACTGCACTTGTCGATGAAGGATGGGGGTAGCATGTCTATCCTTGCTCTGAAGGGACTTTGGTATTACTGTCCAATGACATTCTTCTGAACATGTATGTGTTGCGTGCACAGCGTTCTGCTGATTCTCCTCCCATCTCTGGAATTGGTTGCAATCAGTCTTGATGGGAGGATAGAATGGAGTGGAGGCTTTGCACAACTTCATTTTTACACCAGTTGTTCCCTTTCCTGGGTGAAGAGTACATGGATACTCCTGCTTTGATCATCTCTCAGATGGATTACTGCAATGCACTTTACATGGTGCTGCCCTTGAAGAACCTCCACAAGGTTCACTTGGTCCAGAATACAAAAGCAGAAGCAATTATGTTTCATTATATCCATATTATACCTTTGCTCTGCAATCTGCACGGCTCCCAATTTGCTTCCAGGCGCAACTACAGGTGCTAGTTATTACCTATACAGCCTTACATGACACAGGGACAGCGTATTTGAAGGATGGCCTTTACCCATAGTATTATGCTGGGCAGAAGGGGCTCACTCTAGGCCATTAATCATCGCTTGTTATATTGCAATCTCCCAGAAAGCAACCTTTTTCCCTACCTGTGCCTGCTTCCTGAAAGACCATTGGCCCAGAGTTTAGCTGCTCCTGACTCTGTGACCTCTCAGAAAGTCATGAACAGCTGTTTTCCTAGGCATGGTTGGTGAACAGTGTTTCCTGGAATCATTTTGTATTAGTTGGCTGATTATACATACATACATACACACATACATATATACACATACATACATACATATACATACACATGTACATATATATGATGATGTTGGGAGTTCCCAACGAAAGCTTGGCAATTTTAGTAAAGTATATTTTTCTTACTTAAATCCTCCTGGTGGTCGTGTATCATTTTGACTACAATTATGCCCAGGAGTCGCATATATACATATATATATATATATATTAATGATATCCGTAAAAATGCGACTCCTGGGCATATATATATAAAAACAATTTGTTGCATTTCCAAATCTTTGTTAGCTGCCCAGAATCAAGGTGGGTGGCCATATGAATCCATTTAGAGAAATAAAATTAAATGTTTAAATAATGGTGTGTGGTGGTGCTCCTTTGGTATGAAAAGAGAGAAACTCGCCCAAGCTCCCTCTTTAAACCGTCATGCAAGGAAGGAAAGAAGGAAGGAAGGAAGGAAGGAAAGTGCTTCTGCCACCCATAGCTACCTCCCAGACGTGCAGGATTGCCACTCTCAAAATTCCCCAAAGCAGCAAGTTTTGGGGAAGCAACTTAACTCCAGGTTACCCCTTAAACCAGGGGTGGGCAGCCTTGGCTCTTTTATGACTGGTGGACTTCAACTCCCAGAATTCCCGAGCCAGCCATGCTGAGGGGAAAGGGAGAGGTTTCCAAACTGAGCCATGCTGGCTCAGGAATTCTGGGAGTTGAAGTCCACCAGTCATAAAAGAGCCAAGGTTGCCTACCCCTGGTCTAGGAGGCTCACCGCTTAGAACAGGAGGATGTAGGCCAGGGATAGGCAACCTTGGCTCTTTTATGACTCGTGGACTTCAACTCCCAGAATTCCTGAGCCAGCTGTGCAGCAAGCACGTGTCCTCCTCCTCCTCCTGGCGGGGACAGCGGGAGGCCCCGCCCCCTTCCCCAAGGAGAAGACGGAGGGGAGGACGGCGCCGGAAGAGGAGGGGCGCGAGGGGGCGGGGCCAGCCGGTGTCTATGGCGACGCGCGGACGCCGCGACGCGCTCAAGAGGCGGGCGGCGGCGCACGCCTCTTCCCATTTCCTGCGCGGGGGCCCCGAGAGCAGCCGCCGGAGCAGCAGCAGCAGCAGCAGCAGCGGGGAGAACCGAAGGCGCCCATGGCCAGCTACAAGGTGAGCAGCGCCGCCGGGGCCGGGCTGGGGGGCTGCGGGGGGGAGCCGCGCTGACTCCCTCCCTCCCGCCTCCCTCCCTCCTTCCTTCCTTCCTTCCTTCCCTCCCTGCGGTGTAGGCCGCCGACTCCAAGCGGGAGCAGTTCCGGCGCTACCTGGAGAAGTCCGGCGTGATGGACACCCTGACCAAAGGTAAGGCGGCTCGGCGCTGGGGGGGCCGGGCGGGGCGCCGCTCGGTTCCGCCCGCCGGGTCGCCAGCGCCGCTTCCGCTTTCTCGCCCTGCAGTGCTGGTGGCGCTCTACGAGGAGCCCGAGAAGCCCAGCTGCGCCCTCGAGTATCCTGCCAGGCGGGCCGGGGCTGGGTGGGAGAGTGGGGAGGGGGTGGTCGGGCAGGGCCGGGAGACGCGACGGCCCTTAACTCCTCCAAGCTTCCTGAAGCACCACCTGGGAGCCGCGGCACCTGAGAACCCCGAGGTGGAAGCCCTCCGGCTGGAGGTGGCCGAGATGAAGGAGAAGTACGAAGCCCTCCTGGAGGAAAACCGGAAGCTGAAAGCCAAGGTAAGGCGGCCCCGGCCGTTCCCTCCGGGAGAAGCCGCGGCCAGGGCGGCTCCTGTGCCTGGGGAAGAACTAACCACCTCGCCCTCCTTTTCAGCTGGCCCAGTACGAACCGCCGCAGGAAGAGAAGCGGGGAGAATAAGCCTTGTACCTGCTTCAATAAAACATCTGGAAAGTCTCTCGTCTTGCAGCTTCTTCTTCTGGCGGGGCCCAATTGTTTTACTTGGAGGGTGGTTCAGGCCGGCCCCTCTCCGTGCAAAGCTGAGCAACTTGTTCTGCAAGCATTCAAGGCTGAACAAATGGCGGTTACAGCCGGTCTTTGGCGTTCTGGCCACCCCAAGCACGCCTGTGGTCACAATTTGGGCACTTGGCAACAGGTCCACACTTACAACTGATTGTAGCGCTCCACCATAGCAGGTTCCCCATTTGCAACCTTCCTTGCAGGCTTCCCCTAACTCGCCTGTGTCACCTGTGCCTCCCCGGCCAGTCTGCACTTGGGCTGGTGCTTCCTGACCGGTTTTGGTCCCCCCATGCACCCTTCCTACCCTACACCCTCCCCAATTCACACTGTACCTCTTGTGTACCCTTCCTGATCTGCACCCCCTAGTTCCCTCCCCCAACAGGCAGCAACCACTTGCCTGCCTGCTGTCCTCGGACGTGCAAATTTCTGCCATCTTCTCCACTATGATTGTGGGAAGCCAGGGGGAAGTAGCCGTACCTAATAATGTGGGATTCAGTTAATGATGGTACCTTGGGCTACAGAGATTCCCATTGCTAAGGGATACGTTCATAAAGGCACAAGGGCATCACTTAGTGACGGTCTCCCAATTGCCACTAAGTTGCGGATTACTTATATTTCTAGGTATCAAAGGTTCACACATTCCCCCCATAGAAATATATTCATGTTTCTTTCATTGTAAAGTTATAGGTCAGTGACAGTGTTAACATATTCTGGAATAATTGCTAATATTACAGAATTAAGCTGCCATTTACTAGGAAAAAAGATGGAACGTACCTAGGATTGGGTGGTAGAGTGGATAAAATAAGGATGTAAAAGTTAGCATCACTTCACGTTTAGAAGTAATAAAGGGTTTTGGCAATAAAGGAAAATTAATAAAAGGCTGAGAAGCATAGGTGTAAAGTAAGATAAACTTTTCTAACCAGTTAAATCAGCCAAAAAATTATAGAAGTAGTAGAAATCTAATATCAAGATCCTTTTTATAATTACAAATGTAACAAAGTAGTCTTTAGAATTAACTACGTTTATACGTCTATTGGATAAATAGATAGTGTTATTAGACTCAGTTTAAAACCCTATTATAGTCCGGTCTTCCTGTCCCACGTCCGGACTCTGGCGGGCGCCGATGGCGAAGCGTCCGGGGGCCGGAGGGGGCTCGGCCGGGCTACGACGGCAAACCGACGGGACGGTGGCGGGCCGGCCTCCCCCGCGGGCGCCGCAGCGCCCGTTCCTTCGGCGGGCCGCCGTCCTTCCGCCCGGGCTCCCCCCAGTGCACGGGGAGGGGCGGCGCCGCGGCAGGTTAGCCCGCGCGCAGGCGGAGCCCGGCCCGAGCGGTACCGGCGGTACGGCAAGCCCCGGCGGCTCCTGCCGGCGCAGCTGCTGTCCGGCGCGGCCTTGCCCGCGGGCAGCCTGGGCGCGGCCGACGCCTTCCCCAAGGACTTCGGGTACGGCGCCGACGAGGACGAGCTGGCGGGCGAGGACGACGGGGCCGAGCTGGCGGGCGGCGGCGGCGGGATGGGCATCGCGGGGCCCGGCGGCGGCGGCGGCGGCGGCGGCGACTCCTCCAAGCAGCCGCGCATCCTGCTGATGGGGCTGCGGCGCAGCGGGAAGTCCTCGATCCAGAAGGTGCGCGGCGGCCTGGCCCGGGCGGGTGGGTGGGTGGGCTCTGCGGGAGGGGGGGGGCTGGCGTGGCTCCCCGGGGGCGGCGGGGCTCCTCCCTCCCCCTCCCCTCCTCCCCCCTGCCCCTCCCGGGCGTGCCCCGCCTGACCCCCCCCGCGCCCTGTGCCTCCGGCAGGTGGTCTTCCACAAGATGTCCCCCAACGAGACGCTCTTCCTGGAGAGCACCACCAAGATCCACAAGGACGACGTCTCCGGCAGCTCCTTCGTGAACTTCCAGATCTGGGACTTCCCCGGCCAGATGGACTTCTTCGACCCCGCCTTCGACTACGAGATGATCTTCCGCGGCACCGGCGCCCTCATCTACGTCATCGACGCCCAGGTGGGGGGGAGGGGGAGGGGAGGGCCAAGTCGGGGGCTGCAGGCGGAGGGGCAGCCGAGCCCCCCCCCCAAGCCTCCTGGGTGGGACGGCATGAAGGGCTCCTCAGCTCAGCGGATGATGCAGCCGGCGCTTCCGACTCTTTCCTGGGCTTCCCTCCCGGCTTCCTCCTTTCTTCCTCCCGACAGCGCTGCTGCTGCTGCTGCTGGTGCTCGTCCGCTTGGCCTCTGAGGGGCCCGGAAAGGCCCCGGGTCGGAGCTGCTCTTGGGAGGCGGGCAAAACCTGGCCCAGCCCCCTCGCAGGTGTTCACGGTGCCCAGTGAGTGAAACTGACCCGGCAAAAACAGGCCTTCCGTTTCTTTTGCAGGACGACTACATGGAGGCGTTAACCAGGCTCCATATCACCGTTTCCAAAGCTTACAAAATCAATCCAGAAATGAACTTTGAGGTTTTTATTCATAAAGTGGATGGCTTATCAGACGACCATAAGATTGAGACTCAGAGAGACATCCATCAGAGAGCGAACGACGATCTGGCTGATGCTGGCTTAGAGAAACTGCATCTTAGGCAAGTGACATTTCTGTAGCTTCTTACATGCTTTTGAATGGCGGTTATCAGTTGCAAGTTGGGGTGTGGTGGGGAGCAGCAGAAGCCTTGGGAGGGCCAGGGCAGGCAGGCCTGGGGTCCTGCTCCGCTTCCAAGCCCATCCCAAGCACCCTATGCTCCACTTAATGACCTGAACAGCCAAAGCCCAGAATATACTTTTTCTGAATCTGAAATGCTGTCACGGTTAGCAATTCTACTTTTTCTGGGAAATTATATCAGCGGTTGTATTATTTCGGCCAAAGAGCAGGTAATATGTGAAAGCACTCAGGTAACTAATGAGAGTTCTTTTCTTTTTAGCTTTTATTTGACCAGCATCTACGATCACTCAATATTTGAGGCCTTCAGTAAGGTGGTGCAGAAGCTCATTCCACAGCTGCCCACTTTGGAAAACTTGCTGAATATCTTTATATCAGTGAGTAGCAGTGAATTACTCCACATGTCTCCAGGGCAAATCATGTCGTGAAAGTTAACAAATGAGGGATTTCCGTTTAGGGGATGGTGAAACTGACACCCAGAGATCTTGGGAAGAACTTTTGCCTCCAAAGCAGAGGTGGGTTGGAGATTGCTCAATCGTGCTGAGCTTAAACAGATGATTTGGTTTATATTAGACGTTTTAAACGAATAATCTTCATACATTGAAGATTTGGATTGGACGCTAGTAACATTATTAAAATATGTGGTGTGATCAATACTTGCTTTATATTAAGCGCGTACTTTACCTCCTTAGTTTATACAATAAAGTATTGCAAAATAAACAACAGGAAATAGATGGTGGGACAAATGTGGGTATTTGGGAGATGTAATCTTAACGTAAACCTGTCTTTCCATTTCCTGAAGAATTCGGGGATTGAGAAAGCTTTTCTTTTTGACGTTGTCAGCAAGATCTATATTGCAACAGACAGCTCCCCTGTTGACATGCAGTCCTACGAGCTGTGTTGTGACATGATTGACGTTGTCATTGACGTTTCTTGTATATATGGGTAAGTAAATCCTTTAGAAGTACGGAACAACCATCTCGAAAGAAGCTAGTGACTTCTAACTACTTAAGAAGATCTTTTGCAGTTCAGGGATATTTTGAGAAATGCAAGATAATCTTAAAATTGTGAAGGTTTTAGTTTAAAAGGTGGGGGACGCTCTGCCGCCTTGCTTATTGTTGGCGTAATTTTGCCAACAAAACTTTGTCCAGGATTCTGAGCGAGCGTCCTTATAAACCCTGATATGCCTCACATCATGATCACAGGACAGGTATTTGCATCAAAATATGACTCCTGCCCAGAGTCACCTAATTGATGAGATGGGCAACATGTAAATTTAATGAATAAATAAAAATAATAAAGGTCATTAGTATTGCGGTAAGCTGACTTTATATATTAATATAAGGATATTTAAATATATTTGGTGATCAATCAAGCTAAAAAGCAGCTATACATTTCTGAAGTTGTAAAGTGTAAAAATTTTAAATTTGTTCTAAAGTCCTGTTCAGTTGCCTAAATATAAATGAGACATCTAAGTTGCATCGAATTTAAGCGCTCAGTCTAAATCTCAGATATGCTAAACAGTCTTTTCTCCTTCAACCAACTCTAGGTTAAAAGAAGATGGCAGCGGTAGCGCATACGACGAGGAATCTATGGCAATTATTAAACTCAACAACACAACTGTTTTATATTTAAAAGAAGTGACAAAATTTCTAGCCTTGGTGTGTATTCTTCGAGAGGAAAGCTTTGAACGCAAAGGTAAGGAAAGAGCTTAATTTTGTTCAGTCAACCAATCAATCTTTATTACTGTCGTGGATCAGCAGCACAAACAGCTTCTGGAATCCCCAGTGAGACCTTTGGAGCTCAGAAAAGGGCCGATACGTTTCAGTTTGCAAAGCCCCCATATCTCACGCCTCTCGTTTTCTGAGATTTCCCCAACTGGCGTCTCCCCTTCCCTTTCATCCCAATCCCCCCTTTTTTCTCTTTGCAGGCTTAATAGACTACAATTTCCACTGCTTCCGCAAGGCCATCCACGAGGTCTTTGAAGTGGGCGTTTCCTCGCATCGCCCCTGCGGCCATCAAGCAAGCATTCCCGGTCTGAAAGCAGTGGCTCACAATGGCACCCCGAAGGAGGACTGAGTCGGGATGAGTTGGTGCTTGCTTGCTCATCCTGCGCCTGGATCGGGCAGGAGCAGCAGCACGGAGGGAGGGAGGGAGGGCTGCCCGACTCCAGCCGTTTATTTTGGAGCCAGAGGAGTCTGCCTTGTGGACTGATCCTCAGCGTCCATACGGACACCCGGAGGGACTGCGAGGAAGCCGAGATGCAGAGCGGCGGCTTTCGCTGTCCTTTGGCAGGCAGGCAGGCAGGCAGGCAGGCAGGCAGCCTCTCCTCCAGGTGGGAACTTCCTTGTTTGTCTCAGAATTCAGCAGCCGGCGATGTGCTTCAGGGGCTCTGAAACTCAGGCATATTCCATAATTTATTTGAGTACACACTCAGCACATTCCACGTGACTTATCACACGGTTTTGTGGTAATACCTGAAAAAAGTAATATATCCTGTGACCTCTCCTTAACAAACCCATGGAATGAAAGCGCTTATCTGCTTTTCTGGCTCTAACTGTCGTCAGAACTCTTTGAAANTTCCTGCACGCATCGTTACGCTAGTTTTTGAAGCGTCTTCGGGCAGCGCTGGCTCCCTCGGCTAGGAGATGAAGATCATCCACTAGAGTGGGACAGGACTGATCAGGAGAAATCTTTACCCTCTCCCCAAGTGATTCCCTTCCACCCCGCCATGGCTAGTATGGCTAGCACTCGTTCAATATTTCATTCTTGAAGCCGCATGATCGCATAGAGGGTCGTTTTATTTTTTAGAAAGTAGGTTCGGCTTTGACCAGAATGGAACAGGATGGGTTTTGGTTGCTGGAATTTGCAAACAATTTTGCTCGTTTTTAACAACATGAGAAACTTCCTTCCATAGGAACACTTTCCGTGTGATGAAATGTTTTCTGTGAATCTTCCTGTAGGTCGTCTGTGTTTTGGCATGTAAATGCCATTTTCTTAATGATGACAGCTGTTCCAGAGTTTCAGACTCCGTTCTCTACTCAAAATATCAATTTGAGTTTGTTAAAGACTTAACAGATGCTTTAATACTCTTCACAGGTGATTGTATTCTGCCAGAGGGTCATGTCCAGACCAGATATGTTCCCAGACTACATTAATAAAATATCTTTATCTCAACAAGTGTTTCTCTTCTGAATTAAATACAAGGAAATACAGGCTTTAGTGTCCTGTGGGAAGTTGTAAACTCACAGGCGTTATAATAATTTTGTGGCTGCAGTTCAGTTGCTAATTAATACCTTGCAGAAATTAGGCCGCCTGCTTTATTGTGTTTTCTTTCAACTTGTAAGCAAAACCAACTAGCTGTTTTTGCCAAACAGTACTGTGTATTTTCTTGTGACAGTTTTTTAGAATTGGAATACCTTCTTTGGTAGAAATTTCAGCTTCCAAATATTTTGCTGTGTGCATACTTTTGCACCAGTTATATTTTTCTTATTTTGAACCTAAACACTGCAGAGGATATAATCACCTTTGCAGAAAAATGTATAAGAAATACTTACGGAATTAGCGGCCTGCAATTGATACGGACATAAAGCCATGTTGATTCAAATGATTTGCACCAAAGCATGGGTTTCACTTCGAACATATAGAAACTTTTAATTTACAGGGCAATGAATTAAGGTGATTTGATCACCAGTAACATATTTGAATATGCTGTATGTGTGGCAAATCTTCAGTGAATATATACAACCCAATACATACATCAAACGTTAAAACTGTTACAATGTGGAGCAGTTTCTCCACATTTTTCAAAAGGAGATATTTCAATAGCTACATAATAGAGATGCTGAAATAGAATCTACATAGCAGTGGAGTGGATTATTTTGATTGGTTGATCATATTTATGCACTGCCCATCTCGCTGTATAAGTGATTCTGAGCAGTTTGCAAGCAAAAAAGACCATTAAAATCCTTACAAAAATATGCGAAATGAAAAAGACGGACAGTGTCCTCAAACCACCAACCATCCCCATGTCGGTGTACCACTAGTAGATCCCCATGCTAGTTGGCAGAGCCAGATCTTGAAGAGATCTTCCTGAAGAGTAGAAGCCAACCTCACCTCCAGGAATGGTCCATAGGGTGGTGGAAACAGCAAGAAAGGCTCTCCTAGACCCCCAAGTCAAAATTCTTTAACCAATGGGACAAGGGCAGGACAAGAAACCATGGTTGGAAACTGACCAAAGAGAGAAGCAACCTGGAATTAAGGAGAAACTTCCTGACAGGGAGGACAATCAGTGGAACAGCTTGCCCCTAGAAATCGTGGGTGCTCCATCACTGGAGATTTTTAAGAAGAGACTAAACAGTCACTTGTCTGAGATGGTATAGGTTCTCCTGCTTGAGAGGGGGCTGGACTAGACCTCCAAGGTCCCTTCCAACTCTGTTATTCTGAGTTTCCTATCTACGGCATCTTGGTAGTTTATCCAGTTTCAAGAAACACATGCTTTATTCAACAAAAGCACAAATCAGCACAAAGGCACTATCTGGAAAATAAATTCAGGCATTACACTTTGAGAATCATTTAATACTATGTATACCAGTAGTGGCGAACCTATGGCACGGGTGCCAGAGGCGGCACTCAGAGCCCTCTCTGTGGGCACGTGCACTGTCGCCCCAGTCCTAGGCCTTCAACTGGGTTTTATAAAACCTTTTCGCTTTAGGCCTCCGCCGCCGTGTACAAAAAAAAAAAAAAAGGTTCCATCAATCAGTTAATTTCAACTTCTTGCGGGGGAAAAAAAAGATCTTGCAAAGTTGGAATTGATTGATTGAACTTTTTAGTCCCACCCAATCTGCCGTTACCACCGCAGCCACGCCCACCCAATGGGCCACGCCCACCCAATGGGCCACACCCACCCGGCACTCAACGATGCATAAGTGGGTTTTGGGTTGCAGTTTGGGCACTCAGTCTCTAAAAAGTTCGCCATCACTGATGTATACTTTTTATTCTACTCATACAGGAGCAAGTTGCAATAAATACCTCTATACATCACAGGATGGCAGTAGAGCTCCACAAAAAGTTTAGTTTGACAAATCTTTGGCTAAACATTTATTTCAAGAGAGGAATAAATTGATTTCGAATACAGAATAACTCCAGAGTTGGAAGGGACTTTGAAGGTCTTCTAGTCCAACTCCTTGTTCAAGCAGGAGACCTTATGCCATTGCAGACAAATGGTTGTCCAATCTCTTCTTGAAAGCCTACAGTGATGGGTCTTCTGTCACCAATGTTTGCTTTTTTTTCTAGAGGAAGTCTGGTCTACTTTTTCCCCTGTCCCTGGTACAGCTAATAATGTTCCTTGTCCAGGTGTCTGCATGCTTTCTTCCAAGGAGAGCTTATAAAATGGACTATTTCACTCCAGTGGGCCTGGACTGGACTGGGTTAGCTTTCCTTCCTTCCTTCCTTCCTTCCTTCCTTCCTTCCTTCCTTCCTTCCTTCCTTCCTTCCTTCCTTCCTTCCTTCCTTCCTTCCTTCTTCTTCTTCTTTCTTCCTCTGCATTTTTGTCTATAACTGGCATCCTCTTTCTCCCAAGCGATGGATTTCTCTTTATTTCACGGATACAGTCATGAAGGTAACAGGGGGAACCTCTTACTGTTTCAGCTTCTCCACCTATTTGCACGAACTGCCTGATGGCATAATCTAAACCTTTTCAATATGGAGCATCAGAATAGCCTTTTCTGTTGTAGAACAATTCTTCAACCTTCAATAAGAGATTCTTTCAGTTCTTTACTTCCAGACATCAAGATGGTATCAGTTGCACCAAAGTTTTTTTACCTTTTTTCCTAACAATATTAATTCTAGTTCCTATTTGTTCTAGACCAGTATTTCTTATTATATAACTTCTTCATGTAAATTAAACCAATTCACCAGTGGAGCAGCTTGCCTCCAGAAATCGGAATCATGGGCACTCCATCACTGGAGATTTTTAAGAAGAGGCTAGACAGTCACTTGTCTGAGATGGTATAGGTTCTCCTGCTTGAGCAGGGGGCTGGACTAGAAGACCTCCAAGGTCCCTTCCAGCTTCTATTCTATTCCATATTCTATTCTATTCTATTCTATTCTATTCTATCCCAACAAGGTAATAGTATGCAATCATGGCACATTCTCAGCATGTAATCTTTGAGGTCCATATTTTGTCCTCTTGCTTTCTGGTTATTGGAAACATACAAATGCTTCAGCTGACAGATATAATGTAGCAGCAATCTTGAGATACCTAAATGAATGTCAGAAAAAGTTTTCCTGATGTCTATCATTGTAGAAGGCAAGGCATGGAATAATGGCTGTGTTACATCAAGGCATGTTGCTGAAGGTTATCCATTTTTTTTTCTCAAAGTAAGAGCTGCTCAGCTGTGGATCCCAGAGATGGGCGGGAGGTGGGGGATGATGGGCTCCCTTCATGATACGTGGTCGAGCAGAATCTGGACAGTCTGTTGGGAGGCAGGGAGCTGGATACAAGGGGCTCTAAGGACTTTTTAAATTTTAAGGATAATCCTATAATAAATAAGGGAGAACCTACTATACACCGATTTCTGCCCATAATCTAGAGTTAAATGGTTTGTTAAATGATGGAAGCATATATTTGTTTCAAAATACTTTCTTGGAAACATCAAAAAAAAAAAGGGGGGTAATGTCACACATTACAGTACCATGTGAAAAAAAAAAAAGATCAGATCCCCAAATCTCCCATTTCATATGTCCCCAGATATTTTTGCATGGAATTCAGTAGAATGAAATAAATAAGGATGGCAAACTGATTGTATAGCTATAGAATTCTCTGCTTTGCAAAAAATATTTCCATCTCTTCTGATGACAAAATGATGCAACTACACAGCATATAATAAAAGTTTCGGAAGCGCTCACTTTTAAAATTTGGAAGTCTTTCTTTATTAAAATCATGACGAGAGTAAACGTGATCCTGTTCTGCTTCTGAGGAGTTAACCTACTGATGGACAGACAGACAGATTTGCCATCCCTTTGCATAATTTATTTCCTGCATTCTTATTGTACTGGAAATAATAAAAAATGATGTCTTA